AAGATCCTTAGGGGAGCGAGGGGAGCGCACAGCAAGCTCACTACCCTGGACTTCAGGAGAGCAGACTTTGGCCTCTTCAGGGATCTGCTTGGCAGACTGCCATGGGATACAGCCCTGGAAGGAAGAAGGGCCCAACCAAGAAAGCTGGTTAATATTCAAGGATCACCTCCTCCAAGCTCAGGAGCGATGCATCCCAGCAAAGAGGAAGTCAGACAAAAACACCAGGAGGTCTGCGTGGATGAACAAGAAGCTCCTGGACAAACTCAAACACAAAAAGGAAGCCTACAGAGGGTGGAAGCAAGGACAGGTAGCCTGGGAGGAATAGAGAGAAATTGTCCGAGCAGCCAGAGATCAGATTAGGAAAGCCAAAGCCCTGATAGTATTAAATCTGGCCAGGGATGTCAAGGGTAACAAGAAAAGCTTCTATAGGCACACCAGTGATAACAGGAAGACTAGGGAAAATGTGGGACCTCTCCAGAAGGAAATGGCAGACCTGGTTACCTGGGACATGGAGGAGGCTGAGGTACTCGACAACTTTTTTGCCTCGGTCTTCACCGGCCAGTGCTCCAGCTACACCGCCCAAGACACAGAAGGCAAAGGCAGAGACTGGGAGAATGAAGAACCGCCCACTGTAGGAGAAGATCAGGTTCAAGACCATCTAAGGAAACTGAAGGTACACAAGTCCATGGGACCTGATGAGATGTATCCGCGGGTCCTGAGGGACTGGCAGATGAAGTGGCTAAGCCACTATCCATCATATTGGAGAAGTCATGGCAGTCCATGGAAGTTCCCACTGACTGGAAAGGGGAAACATAACCCCCATTCTTAAAAAGGGAAGAAAAGTAAGACCTGGGGAACTACAGGCCAGTGAGTCTCACCTCTGTGCCTGACAAAATCATGGAGTGGATCCTCCTGGAAACTGTGCTAAGGCCCATGGTAAATAAGGAGGTGATTGGTGACAGCCACCACGGCTTCCCTAAGGGCAAATGGTGCCTGACAAATTTGGTGGCCTTTTACGACAGGGTTACAGCATTGGTTGGTAAGGGAGGTGCAACGGACGTCATCTA